ATCAGATACTTTAAGACTTTTATTCAAGTAATATTCCTAAAGGAGACTTTAACTTTTACCAAAGAAATTAAACATAATTTTAAAAAAAAGTTAAAAAGTAATCTTAATTGGTAAGATACTTGTACTTTTACTCAAGAATCACTTTGTGATACTTTATACAACACTGTGTAGCACATATTGAATAAGATCAGATAATAAACTTCATCTGCAGCAACATTGTAAGGAGTGAATGTTTAATATTCAAACAGCTAAAAGACGTTTAATTATTTTCTGCTTTTGTCATCAGCTCCTCACAGTTTCACAGGAGAAGACAGTGTAGAGTTCCACATCCATGGTGGTCCTGCTGTTACTGCTGCTGTTCTACATGCTCTGGGTAAAAACTCCAACTTCTCCAACTTTCTAAAAAAAATAACATTTTGAAACTGTTATGTGATGCACCATCAATTTCAGTCTGTTGGTGCCAAAGTGTACGCCTCTTTATAGCTTCAATTTCCCGAGCTGTAAGCCTTCAGAAGATTTATTAACATCCTATCTGGTGGAGTCATGTGACTGACTTAAAAGAGAAAACTGCCACATGCATTTCTATTTCTAAGATTCTTAAAATATTTGCATTGGCAAGCATGGCAATCCCTTTGTGATTGGCAAAGATGATTCTGCTGCAGCTTCCCTGCTGGCCGATAGAGGGMAGTGTTGTACAGTACAAACATAGATTTGAATACCACTAGACTGCTAGATCGTCTGTGACAGCATGGAGGAGCAGAAACAAAGACCAGAGAGGGCAACGGCTCACAGCCTCCATAGGAACTAATAGATAATCAGCAAGCTGAACCGGATCTGTTTCACAGATTATCTGCAAAATTTTTTTTACAATAAATTAATAATTATGTTACTTTCATTCAACAATCATGTGAAACAGCAGATAAATATATAATTTATAAGCAACCATGATCTAAATCAGTCCTGAAGTCAGTCTGTAACTTAGACTTTAGCTAGTTGACAAATCATGACTTCAGCTAGTAATAAAGTATATTTATTATTTCTTTTTACTGTCATAAAAAATGAGCGTAATAAATATTTACCAGTCACTTAGAAAATGTTCTCTGTATACCTGTTATATGATGAAACTTGTCTCTATTAGCTAACCATCTTCTCAACAGGTCAGGTTCCTCTAACAGAAACCTAAAAATACTTACATTTATAATATTATTTTACACTCTGTACGTCTAAATATTAATCAGATATAATATTATTTTACATTCTGCACGTCTAAATATTAATCAGATATA